ATATAAAACACAGGATATATTTTGATTGGTTTTGCACATACATTGTAGAACTGTTAGTGTCTTTATGAGCCAGATGATCTAAATGAAATTTTGTGGAAAACACTGGAAACTGATTAGTTTTCTGTTACATTCATTAAAACCCACTGGTATATTCACAAGAAGCTGAGATTTAAAAATGTGACCTCACATGAATAAATGGGTTTAAAAAAACATCTTTTTCATTTACTTCTCTTATCATTTACCATTTAGATCTTGAAATTCAACAAAATAAAATCAATTGGTTTACCTCCCACAACTGATGGTCAAATTCTGATTGGTTTAGCATTTTTTTATTACATATTAGATGACATGTATAACTGAAGTTGGTTCATAAAAGATCCCATATTTTTAGACGTGCAAATAATAAACCATCAGTCCACATTACATTAGCAATAATAAGAAATAGTCATTGTCAGCATTCACTTTTACCTTTCATCACATCTTGCCTTTTGAATTTAATTCTTAAAATCTATGTATTTTCACAGTTTTAAAAGAACTGTGTTTTGAGTAAGAGAAAAACTAGAAAAATTACATTAAGTATGCTTATTGCTGAAGATAAGTTGAAATGAAATGCTGAACTATTAATGCAAGTTGAATTTGAACAACTAAAATTAGCTTAAAGCAGGGAAACAAAAGTGGAACAGCAAAATCCATGTCACATTCAACAGTTACCTTCAAAAAACTGAATTTGCTCTTAAAACAAGGTGAAATATGTTAAGTGACACCATTAGACATCGTTTTCCAAGTTCTACAGAAAGCAAAAATAGATTTACTATTTGTTTCCATCCTTTATGTTCATCAGTAATGCTACAGAACCCAACTAATGAAACTAAACCTGATTTTTAAAATAAAACTAATGTTTGCAAAGTTAACATAAAATGATTAAATGAGAGTGAATGACAAAATAAATAAAAATAACTGTTTACAATTTAAAGGTTTATTTGTATGCAGAAGCAGCCAATACAAATAATTAGAATGATTGCAATTTCTTAAATCATAAATGCAATTATTTTTTTGTCAAAGCCTACTTGAAAAAATTAGTTTTTCACACACAAACTCTCACACATTTTGTAAATACATTCAATCTGATATACAAATATTTGGATAGCTTCTTTTTCTCTATCATTTAAAAATTCATCTTTAATCCTGGCTTCTGCTATTCTGACCATTGCTTCACTCGTCTATGCTCAAAGGTTTGAGACAAATGTGGACAAAGACCTGACATGTCTAACAGTGGATAGTTAATGTGGGGAGGGAAAAAAGGACATTTAAATAAATACCTGAAATAAGCAGCATCCTAAAACATTTCCGTCTCGTCTAACATGCTTCCTTTCTTGGAGGGCGACAAAATAAAAGGCTAAACACGGCATCACAAAGCACTATTGACACAAATCGCCACCTCCAGATAACAGAAACAAAAAAGCTGCACATACAAAGTCTACATTATGAAAATAAAAGGTGCTACTTTGCTTTCCATCCTTCACACACCCAATCAGGCATCTGCACCTCAGACAAACAGAAGCGTAAAACCAGACATGGGACGATGATCTTTCTAACAGTGTTTGTTAATTTTAAGGGGACGCTGGCAGCTTTAGTATAGCAACACATTTATTGTACACTAAATTTTGCCAACATGCAGTTTGTGTATCATGGATAATCATGATAAAATTTCTTCTTCAACTATGTTTCCTGATTGGTTGCAGGAATAAGCCCTTAAAGGATACACCAGTGACACTGGGCTAAAAAAGAAAAAGTGGTTTAGCAGTTGGACGAAGACCAACAAAATGGGATGAAGCTCCTCTTATGTAAAGGCAAAAAGACGAGTCCTTAAGACAGAGAGCAGCATGTCCATGTGCTTCATTTCCTCCTAGACAGACTCGGTTTGTCCAACAAAAGCCGTTGACAGTTTTTTCCTCAGACGTTTACTTCAATACTGGGTACTGGCGCTGGCCGCCTAAACGGCCGGACCGCGGTCCACCTCCTGATGGTGCACTTGTCTGGAAAAAGCACAATTAAAAAGAGAAAGTCATAACGTGACCGAGAAGAAAAATTACGAGCAACTGAACGAAAGCTTCCTGTTACATGAGCACACCTGTGCAAACTGTGCAGGGTTATAAAAAGTGACGCCTCCAGTTGGTGCAGGTCCCTGGGCAGGATGACTCTGTCCAATGAGAAGTGGATGTTAAGCAGTGTTTTATATATTAATGTAACTTTACAGCACGTAAAAAAAGATTGTGATCGTGCCTTTTGGGGTAAAAAAAAAAAAAAAGAGGCAAAAGCGGAAAAAGCAATGCTGAATGGCGTCATTTTGAGGAACTGCTACAAAAAACACTTATGGTTTAGTTGCCATGCAAGCTGTCAGGTTAGCAACATGCTAATTAAGTGAAACAACTTGTAAGGGAAGCATCATTGCAACTGTCTCCAGCATGTTCACAACATTCACTTAGCAAATTAACATAAAAAATAGCTGATGGTACTATTGTACTTTTAACTTCAAACTAAAAAAATCTTACACCAAGTCAGCTACAGTTCACTGACAAATGATCACTACGATTATCAGAGTCTAAACCTTGGATCAAAGTTGTTTTAATACATCATTTAAACACATGAAAACTCAGTGGCAAAAACAGAAAACTCAAAACATCCGTTTTCAGCAACAACTCAGAGCCATAGAATGAATCAACTAAAAGAACAATCTCATTCTGTTTGGCTTATTTTATTTATTTGTTGAACAGATCCAGAGTTCAGTTGTAAATGCTGGAAACAGCTGGTGGCTGAGCAGGCAGACATGGATGTGATGCACAGCAAAGCTTTGGGATGTAAACAATAAAGAGAAGTGATAAACTACCCTGGGAAAAAAAGCGGGACGGGATGAGAATGAATTATTTGACGCCCGACTAGAAATACCTGGTTTAAATGCTGACTCACTTCACGTGATAAAGAACTCATTGAGCTAGAACGTGACAGCTAAAGAAGAAAAAAAAAAGTAGGAGGGGAAACAAAAAATAGAGAACCACAAACCCATATTAATAATCTTTCATGCACTTGATTAAATCCATTTCCACTATTCAACAGTTTAGAATAAAAAAAGAAATGAGCATTAGAAAATTGTGGTTCTTGGCAGAAGGGGCAGTCTGAACTATATCCAAAGTAAGAGAAAGAGTAGTAACTTTTCAGGCACTGAGCATGAGACAGATGGAAGATTTTAAGTTGACAGGCAGGCTGATAGTTGTCAAGCTTCACTGGAGGCATGAAGAGCATCTATAGCAAATCTTAAAAAGAAACTGATGAGCGTTACCTCCCCGGACTGAGAGCCATCAGGACAAGGAGGACCTTCTGAGGCTGGTGGTAACAATGTCGGGTTGAACATCTGAAGAGATTCAAATGAAACAGAGATTCTAGTTGTGTGGACATTTAGTTCTGAATTTCCTGTCGACTGACTTAAACCTTAGTCTAGACCAGGGGTCTGCAACCTGCGGCTCTTTGGTCCCTCAACAGTGACTCTAAACTTGCAGGGCTGCCAAACCCTGGTCCTCAAGGACCCCTTTCCAGCATGTTTTATTTGTTTCCCTGCTATTCAGCAGGTCTTCAGAAGATTGTTAATCACTCATTCATTCAAACCAGGTGTGTCCAAATCAGTGAAACATCTAAACATGCAGGAAAGGAGTCCTTGTGGACCAGGGTTGAGAATCAATGGGCCTCATGCAAGAACATGTTCATATTCTTATCCTAAATTTCTCCTACTTTTGTTCGTACAAAGGGTTCGTACGAACATGTCACGTCAGATTCAACAAACGCTTCTATCTTCAGGAAACGTGCGTAAATGAGCTGCGTAATTTACACCTGTCCTATCCAGCTGCTCGTGCACGCGAGAGGAGATTAGCATAATTACCACCCCAAAAACACCATGTAAGGCTGTGTTTCCTACCTCAGATCCAAGTGTTCATTCATGAGAAATTACAGCGAAAACTGAAAAAATAAAAACTTTACGAGTTCAGAGATTGAAGTCCGTCTGTCAGAGATCCAGAAAAGAAAATCTATGCATGTCTGGATGAAACCGTGTGACAAATGGCTAATGTTCATGATGTTGTTAATGAACTCAGACAC